GTCTCACTTTGAATAACGTGCAAAAAATTAATTTTTTAAAAAAGAAATTAATTATAAATTAGTATATTTTTTTCACTAAATTAGTATAGAAATAGAAATAAGAAATTACATATTAATTTGTAAAGTTTAATTATGAGAGTTTTGTTATGTACAAGAGTCATGGACATTAGTTTTGGCTAGCATGTTTTTGTAGGTGGAGGTTGGTGGTTTTGTATTACTTCGTTTTGAATGTTGATGATAATATAAGTACTTTTGTTTTCTAACAAGAAATTACATATTTCAAGGTTACATAAAAAACTTTACTCCGTATAGAACAATATCAAATAATCAATGAGACATACAAATAGATAAAAAATCTCGATAATTTAGAATAGTAATTGAGATAAGATTTTTAAAATAGAAAGAGTAACATGCATCTCAAGACCAATTAGACCATTATCTGGGAATAACAAGACTTGTGAAATGCACCCATTTATGGGCATTGTATGTTGTGTGCAGACACATATACCATTAATTTGAACAATTCATTGATGTTAAAAACCCCCAAAGTGCTGATATTATGATGTTATACAAAGGGGATTTTGAATAAATAATTACCACTCTATTAATTACTTCTTGTTTGAAAAAAATGCGACTTTAAAATTAATATTTTATTGTTATTTTTTAATTATAACTAGTAAGGAAAAATTAGAAAACACCAAAATTATTCATTTTAAGGGTGCGTTTTTTTTTCCGAACATAAAATATTTTATGAGACGGAGAGATTATTGTTTACTCCATACGTACTAATCAAATCTTAAACCTGATTTTTATACTCAAACCGATCTTAGAAAAACCCTAGGATGGGATGGGATAATCCTTTTATTATTATTATTATTATTATTATTATTATTATTATTATTTGAACAGTCAGTCACTCACTCACAACCAAACTGAGTTAACGTACCTAATAAACGATTCCGTACACATAGAAGCTAAGAGTAGGCTATATATATAGGCATGCATGCATGCAGTAAGATTTTGTTTAGCTCTACTGTTTCAGGTTTGGTTTGGTCAGTATTATTTGTTGTACTACTTGCACATACCTCAATATATAGATCTAATTAATACTCATATTTTTGGTAATAATGTTCATAATTGATTGAATATTAAGTTTAATAAAAATAAAATTGTATAGTTAAAAGTGGACAGAAAAAAATATAGACATATACAAAAATATTATCAACGGTAGAGAATAGAATTACTTTTTAGGACAGACAAAAAAATGTAGAACATTAATACACCGTCAAACTTACAACATTTGAATTTTGGGACTTCAATGGGAAATGCTTGGTTCACAAACACAATTATCACAAAATTCACAAACTTACTAATTGTGAACTTTGATAAAAAAATTTAAATGGTCTACAACAATTTTAAATTGAGAATTTAAACCATAAATAGTAAATTTGTGGAGTTTGTGATCATTCTGTTTGTGAACGTAGCATTGCTCGACTTCAATTCATATGTCCCCTACTAAAGGACATCCTTTTTCATATCCTAATACAGTAATTACTTAGCCTCACATAAGATAAGATTTAACAATTGATCAAATAAGGAGGATGCAATTAAAAATTATTCCCTCCGTTCCACAAAACCCTTCCTCTTGCGTTTTTTTTTGCTTTCCACAAAACACTTCCACTTTCTATTAAAAAACCACTTTTACTCCTACTTTTTCATACCCTACCTATTACATCATACTTTTTCACTAATAACCAAACTATCACATCTTACTTTTTCCCATCACATCAGGGGTAAAATTGGAAAGTCAACCAAAATTACACTTTTCTTATTTTTTCCCAAAGTCAAAACCGGAAGGGTTTTGTGGAACAGAGGGAGTTGTGATTATTGAATATGTATGCAAGAAATGAAATCCAAGAGTCACGAATTCCCTTTGTTTTCTTCAAAAGGTAATTATAACTTTTTTGGAAAAACAAAAAAAAAAGTGAAATCTTTTTACAAAATGGATGAGTATTTCATCTGATTTCATACGGAGTACAGTATTATATATGCTCACTTATTAGCTTTCTTATTTAAAGTGTTCAAAATAATGTTTACATTGATTTCAATAAAAGTACAATGGTATGATCCGATGCATACCGAGTATTATACAAAGTATTACTCTGTATCCTTTCTCTCTTTATGGCCATGGGGTACGAATGTACGATTCCCCTTTTCCGGCGTTATCCGGCGGGTTGGAGCGTTTTCCGGCCACCTCCGGCAAAATTGACGTCGCTCATCCCCACTAAAGTGTTCGTAGCATCTCGGCGACCCCCAAGGACCCTTCAATTGCAAGATTTGATGGGGATTTGAACAAAATGATTTGGATATTCTTGATCCTCATCTCAAGACGAAGAGAACGGCGTTGGTCCCGCCGGAATTTGACCAAGTTGATTTTCCGGCGACTTTGACGTGGTGCGACGGCGGCGGGGAGCGGAAGAAAAGAAAAAAGAAATGGGGTCAAATTGAAAATTTTAAAATATATAAAATTCTAATTTGGCCCAAATGACCGGAAGTTAACCTAGAAACGGGCAAATGGACTTTTAGTGAAAGGATTGTGTAAGTTCAGAGATTTTTTTGAAAGGATTTGAAGCTTAGGTACCACTTCAAAATTCTAGCTAAAGTTCAGGTACCACTGGTGAAATTTACCCAATCACAGAGCAAGAAAAGTACACAACAGTAAGAGCAAAATTGTACTACTCCCTCCGTCCTAAAATATTCTTCTATTTGACTTTTCACGATCTCCAAAATTGCACTTTGACGATTACTATCTATATTTATACATAAATATATTTTATAATAATTTGATATTACAAAACTACGTTTCAATAGAAATATATTGATATTAAATTTATATCATAATACAATGTATTTTTTCTACATATCGTAGTCAAAGTTTACAAACTTTGAGCATGAAAAGTCAAATGGGAAAATCATTTCTGGATGGAGGGAGTAACTATCTTACACTAAAAGAGCTAGAGAGACTAGCACAGAGTCCTACAAGCTTCCCAACTACCCTCGTCCTAGATCTCCATCCAGACACTCCTATCTAAGGTCATATTCTCAGTTAGGGCTAAACAGCTTAGATCTTATATTGTCTGATCACCTCCTTCCTACTCTTCTTAGGCCTGCCTCTACCTCCACCCTTGCCCAAAATCATAATCCTCTCATACCTTCACACCAGAGCCTCAACACTACGCCGCTTCACATGCCCAAACCACCTCAACCTGACTTTCCTCAACTTATCCTCCACAGGAGCCACTCCCACCCGTCTTCCGACAACCTCATTCTGGATCATATCCAACTTTGTCTACCCACACATCCATCGCATCATATGCATATCTTCTGCATGCAATTGATGAACATGGACTTTCTTCACTGTCCAAGACTTCGCTCTGTATATCATAGCCAGTGTGACTACCGATCGATAGAACTTTCCATTCATCCTAGCCAAAATCTTGTTTCACTACAAGAAAAATACCCTTTAATGTGAGTACAAACCGGTGTTAATATAATGTAAAGAAAACTCTCATTAAAACATTTTAATGAGAGGAAATTATTAAAACAAAAGTGTAATTTTAGATGATACTGGTCCTAATTCTTTTTATTTTTAGAAAAAAAATGAAATTTAACGCCAACCCATCACCCATAATTTCACCAAAAAACACCCATGCTGAAAACACAACTTGAATACATTTGAATTAGAGTGACAACCGGATCAATTGATTCGGTTAATCTATTATTCCCTCTGTCTCTAATAGATTACCAAAGTTTGGTTTTTTTAGTCAAGCTGTGATACCTTTGACCGCGAATGATGAAAAAAGTATATTTAATTATAATACAAATTTAAAAAATTTGAGTTTATTTTAAAATATGATTTTGAAATACCAAATTTTTATAATATTTAATTATTTTAAGTTATATTTTATTTAATTCGTGGTCAAAAGTTGTCACAGTTTGACAGAAAAGCCAAACTTTGGTAATCTTTTAGGGATGGAATGAGTATTATTGAGCCATGATTTTATTTAGTTTTTTATTTGATGTATTTTGAATATAGTCACTTTTAGATGTGCGTGATTGATTTTGGTTTTGAACGGATCTCGATTTTGATTAGCTTTATGGTTAATCGGTTCGACTTTAATCACTACTGGGTCAATTTGGTGCGGAATCTTTTCGAAATTTAATTGACTTGGTTTCGATTTTTTCGAATCATATCGGTATTTCAGTTACAAATCAAATTTTTTTTTTTGTTAATTTGAGATTCGATTTAATTAGATATAGCTTCCGTCCGAGATCAATCAACTCAGTTTTCTCTTTTTGTTTGTTCCAAAACAAATGTGTCATTCTTTACCTTCCTAACACCAACATTTCCCTTTGCTTTGATCACAATTCAACCATGAACTTTAAATTTTCAAACACAATTCTAAATTTCGTGAAAACAAAAATTGGAATGATATAATTGAGGAGGGAATTGAAGGAGTGTGTTTCAATTTAATCCGTTCCGGATCTGGCAGGCTCTACAGTCCACATCTAAAGATGATCCGCGTGTGGGATAAGAAAAAACAAAGGGAGAAAAAAGAGAGAGACTTGGGATCTGAACCCTAGCCCTCCTCCGGTCGGTCAGTCTGCCCTGCCCTCATCACTCTCACCCATTATTATCATACTCTGTATTTATTTTTGAAAGAAATAAAAAAATAAAGAGGGAGGAGGAAGAAGAAGGAGAGGAATTAAAAAGGTTACACCCCTTGAGGGCACAGCCCTATTTAATCTACTGCCACACTTTCATTACAACATATATTTAATCAAACACTTACATCCACACCATTGTCACCCTATACCCTCTTTTCTTTTTTTTTCCTTTTAGGGAAGAAGAAGAAAATTTAATTCTGAAACAAGAAAAAAGAAAAAGAAAAAAAAAACCCAATCCCATATATATCATCGTCATCATCATCACTGGGTCGTAGCTGCTGCAACTTCGACCCGGCCCACTTGCCTGCCTGCCTGCAGTCTGTGTAATCTCTCTCTCTCTCTATCTCTATTACTTTCTCTCTCTAACTCATCAGAAAGTCTGATGAAAGAAGATTCTAATATAAGCCCAGGCAGCAGCATCTTTCATTGTTCTCTTTGTTTCTCTCCTGCAGGTTGATTGTACTTTTGACTCCCCCACCCCCACTTAGTCTACACGGTATGGCTACCTTCATACATCTTCTATTATTGCACTGTACTATTCTCTCTCTTTTTTTTCTTCATTTCTAACATTTTGCTTTGTTTTGAATCGATCTGGGTTATGTAGATCTGAGTTGGTTGACTGAGTTGGTGGGCCGGATCGGAGGAGAATGACTTCATCTAATAATAATAAACACTGGCCGAGCATGTTCAAGGCCAAGGGCGGCGGCGGCGGAGGGAAGAAGGCGTTGAGAGTTGGGGACAGGAACAACCCTTCCGCCGCCTCCTCCTCATCCAGATCTGGGCCGCCGGCCTTCTCGTCGGTGGGGCCCACCGAGGAGAGGGTGCCAGAACTGAAGGAGCGGTGGAACCCGAAGCCGGAGCAGATTCGGATACTCGAGGCGGTTTTCAACTCCGGCCTCGTGACTCCGATGCGGGAGGACATCATGAAGATCAGGGCCCGGATTGAGGAGTACGGCCACGTGGCCGATTCCAGCGTCTTTTACTGGTTCCAGAACCGGAAATCCAGGAGCAAGAACCGCCAGCGCAAGCAGCGGCGCTCCGCCGAGCCGCCGCCGCCGCAGCAGCAGCAGCAAAACCCTCCTCCTCCTCTTCCTCTTCAGTCGCCGCTGACCGCCTTCGCCGCCCCGGGGATGACCCTACTTTCGTCCACCTCAACCGCATCGTCCTCCTCGTCTTCCGGCCCGTACATCCAGACCCCTCCCGCCGAGGCCGAGTACCTCGCGGAGCTTCCCCCGTTCGTGTACCCCGACGCCACCCCTCTTGACGGTGGCGGCGGCGGCGCTTCTTCATCGGCGGCGAATTTCACTCAAGGGTTCGGCTTCCACGCCGCCACCGCCATCGACGACGACCTCCCGGAAGCTTCTTTCACTGAGCTTCTCACTGCTGGGAACCCTTCCTATGGTGGTTTTCCTGCCACCCATCTCTTGGGGAATTTCAACCAACAATTTCCCTCTTCTTCCCTTTCTCTTCCTCCTCCTCCCCCACCTTTCCCAGGTACATTATATTAATATTTCTGAATGAGACTAACTATCACTCTCATTTGAGTGCAAAAAAGTTAAAGATGATGTGATGTTTTTGTGTTTTGGCAAATAAAAAGGGGAGGGAAAGGTGACGGTGGTGATAAACGAGATGGCATTTGAGGTGCCGGCGGGGCCATTCAACCTCCGGGAGGCGTTCGGCGACGGGGCGGTGCTGTTCCATTACGCCACCGGCCAGGGGGTGCTCACCAACGAGTGGGGCTTCACTCTCCACCCCCTACAGCATGGAGAATCCTACTGCTTACTCCAACCCTCACCTTAATTAGCTCTACTCTCATTTGGTTCTTCCTTTTTCCTCTTCTTCATCACTTCCAATCCACTTTCTTTATTTTAACCTTATTAGGGTTTAATTAAATTCTTTTTTATTGCTTCAGATCAGATATAGAGCAAAAATGGGCAAAGAAATGTGGGATGAGAGGTGTTGCAGTCATATATATATGTGTGTTAATGTTGCTGCTTTGGTTTTCTTTAATTTGCTGCATGTTCTTCAAACTATATTAGACCTTCTTAATTACTTAGTTCCCTTTCTTTCTGCTATATGTATATTCCCTATGGGAAAGATAATAATATAACTTTGTGAGAGTGTTATTAAGTTAGTTTATAAACTATATTCTATTTATGACCCATTATGCATATATGGTGTCAATATAATGTGTATGATGCTTCTTTAATTTACTGAATTATTGAAGTCATTAGATGTTTAATATAATGAACTATTTGGGTAATTTAGCTTTTGGTGGTTTAGTAAATTAAAAGACTTTAATTTGTTAGAAGAACTCAAACTTTGATGTCAATTCAAGCTTGTTCTTATCTTTCTTTGTGGGAAACTTTGGTAAATATTAGTACTCCCTCTATCACAAATTGTTTTTCTACTTTTACTTTTATCTTTATCTATGTCAAAAAACAATTCTATTTCCGTTTAAAATTTCCTTTTACTCTTTTAATTATCAATCTTTTCATCACATTATTAATATCTTATCATAATATAAAGTAAGGAAAATTTTAAAAATAACACTAAAGTTACACGTTTCCTAAATTCCTCATTTTTCGAAATTGAAAAAATTTTTGGAGTTGGATCTAATATAAAAATATGCGGAATAATTAGTTTGCTTGTATAGTATGAGAAAAATTACACTTATTTTATTTTATTTATGGAAATGAACTCGTTTCACAAGGGTCGGGGTTCTACTTGTGAGGAAGAAAAAAAGGCTTGTGGGATATCTCGAGAAGTTAGTCGTAGTCTTTACTTCAACTTGATGATCTCGAGAAGCTGGTCTTTACTTAACCCTTGTTTAGTTAACCCTTGGTTGTAAGAGGGAAAAAAACATTTTCATAAAACCCTTAATAATCTTTGATAAATTATTAGGGGAAAGCTTGGTGAACACCACTTGGAGTACACCACATCCATGTACACCAGGCCCAAAATAGGCACACACAGACACTTAGTGTCGGTACACAGACAGTTGACTTATCACATTGACATATTACAGTGTCATCACTTTTAATTTCCATCATACTTTCAATGCGTTTTCTTACACCACATTGTCTTTATATCTTATTTTAGTTTTAAAAGATATAGGACTCCTATTTTGGGATTTTCAAATTTTTTACTCTTATCCAAGGAGACGTCTTCTTTTAATTAAGTACTCTTTTCATATTTTAACAATTGTATATATTACTTCCTCCGTTTGAAATTAAATTGCATATTTACTATTCAGAGGGTTAAACTTGATTCATTTTCTCCCCTATTTTTGTTAATCTATTTTATTTAAATATTGGTATAAAATAAAAAATAAAACATACATATTTAAAAACTATATCAAAAGTTCAACAAAACAAGTGGTGACAATAATATTTTATTTTATCATATAGGCCATGAAAAAACACAAATAAATATAAATTCCCGTGAAATTGGAATAGTGCTCTGGAAAGAAAGTTTTAGAACGGAGGGAGTAATTGGTTTTCAAGTAAAAGTATAACTTATATATATTTAAAAAGAATATAAAAATGCTAAAAAACAATTGTTGACAAGATTACCCCATAGTTTATTTTATCAAGTGACAAATGAAAAAATACACGCAAACAAATTTAATCGAAAGTCTAAAAGAGTTTACAAGAAATATACTCCTTCCGTTCTCAAAAACACTTCCTCTTTCATTTTTTCCACTTCCAACAAAACACTTCTCCTTTCTATTAAAAAACCACTTTTACCCTTACTTTTTCATACCCTACCTATCACATCATACTTTTTTTCTAATAATCTAACCATCACATCTTACTTTTACCCATCACATCAAGGGCAAAATTGGAAATCAACTACTCCGTATAATTTAACACTTCTTTATTTTTGCCTCCAAATCAAATGGGAAGGGTTTTTCCAAACGGAGGGAGTAGTATTAAAAAGCAAACAAATCTGTTTATAATGTGGGTCTATATTCATTCAATTTGTAGTATATACTCCCTCCGTTCTCAAAAACACTTTCTCTTTCATTTTTTCTACTTCCAACAAAACACTTCTCTTTTCTATTAAAAAACCACTTTTACCCTTATTTTTTCATACCCTACCTATCACATCATACTTTTTCTCTAATAATCTATCCATCACATCTTATTTTTACCCATCACATCAGGGGCAAAATTGGAAATCAACTATAATTTAACACTTACTTATTTTTGCCCCCAAATCAAATGGGAAGGGTTTTTCCAAACGGAGGGAGTATAAGAAGTCAAAATTAAAAGTTACTCCGTATTTAGTAAGGGGGGAAGTTTTATCATTGTACACACTCGTACTAGCATTGTTAACATGAATTAATGAATCACAAATAGAATGTGTTTAAAGAACTGATTCGAAATTAATAAGTGCCACTCTTACAAAAAGTGCAAATTATTACATGCATCTAAGGTGTATGGTACATCTTCATATATGCAAAATAAGTATTTTTGAATGTTGAAATAAGTATTTTTAAAATTAAAAAAAAAATATGTGAGAAAGTATGTGCATGTAAAGTTTAGGTCCACCATAGAATCACTCTTCAAAAAGAAAAAATCTTAAAAAGTACCCCATATTTCATAAATCACCTAGGTTCCCATGACATTGCTCGGCAATGTCATGGGATGACCCAGGGTGCTCCGGTGCCACGTTCAAAAAATTGATGATTCCTACCTTCCCTAACCCCCCAGTAATTAAACCCCTTCACCCCGCTCCGACCCGAACACACCCCTCCACCCCGTTCAATTGCACCCCATAAGTTGATTTTGACTTTGAAGTCAAAATGACTTCAAAGTCAAAATCAACTTGTGGGGTGTAATGGAAGGATGTGGGGGGAGGTGAATTCGGGTCGGGGTGGGATGGGGGTTTACTGGGGGGGTTAGGGGAGGAAGAATCCGTCAATTTTACGAACGGGGCACCAGAGCGCCCCCGGGTCATTCCATGACATTGCCGGACAATGTCATGGGAACCTTGTCATTTGTAAATAACTAAATTTATACAAAGAAAGTACTTATGCTAGGTTTGGATGGAGAGAAGTGTAATGGAAGGATGGGGGGAGGTGAATTCGGGTCGGGGCGGGATGGGGGTTTACTGGGGGGTTAGGGGGGAAGAATCCGTCAATTTTACGAACGGGGCACCAGAGCGCCCCCGGGTCATTCCATTACATTGCCGGACAATGTCAGGGAACCTTGTCATTCGTAAATAACTAAATTTACACAAAGAAAGTACTTATGCTAGGTTTGGATGGAGAGAAAATAGAGTAAAAAATATGAATAGAAAAGAAAACGTTGAGACTAGTACAATTCAAATTCAGTGTTGAGTATGAAAGAAAAGGAGGAAGAAGAGAAAATAGAGGAGGGCACATACCTCATTAAAAGGTTTCTCTTCACAATGAGAAGAAAGCCGATGAAGATTAAGGACGAATTATCTAAGAATGATAATTAAAAGTACAAAACGACATTAAAAGTTTGTATCGTACCAGAATGGCTCGCAATGATACAAATTAAAATAACAGTGCAAAATTTTTCAATGGTACTAACATTATATTTTATATCAGGTTACAGTGTCAGAGTGTCGTACAAACCTTGTAATTAGTGTCTACATGCACGGTACTCGACGGAGTTCCCTGTAGGCACTAATTACTGGGTTTGATGGCCTTAACAATGCCTAATTTTGAACGATGACTTGTTTTTAATAGCCCGTAATTAGTAGTCCGTATGTGTGAAATGAATTAGCGAAAGGTCACTTATATGTTTATCCATTGACCACATTATTGTACGAGTAATTATCTAATAGTAATCCGCATTTAGGAAACAGATAATCAATGTGTGGGAACCCATTAAAGAGTGAGTAGAGGATCGGAGCAGTAAATAATTGGGGTGTGTTTCGTGAGTAAACAAGATATGAGTTTTGATGTCTCTGAATATTAAAATTCTTTTAAGTAGTGTTTGGCAACTAGCATTTCATTTCAATTCATGCATTTCAATTCCAAAATTTGAAATCTTGAATTTCAAATGACAAGGAGAGGTGCATGGATTTCAAAATAAGTTTTGTTATGAATGAGAAGAATTTGACTCAAATCCAAATTCAAAATTTTTAAGTTTCCCAAATATCAAATTTGAGCCAAATCCGGATTTGAAATCCAAATCCATGTTACCAAACATACCATTAGGGTGTTTGGTGAAGCAAAAGAAGATATCAAATTCGATATCTCTAGATATCATAAATCCTTCAAATGGATGGTTTCGATATCTCCCGAATTTGGAAGATATCAATACGGGATTTGATATCTCTCACAACCATTAACCATTCTCCGCCACCGACTACCAATGTCACCGCCAACCACCCCCGCTTATCACTAATTAAATCATGATTTTAAATCTCTCAAAAAAATTCATTTCAATTTTCAAAATCTATATCATTTTTCATAGTTTTCATAATTACGGAGTACTCCGTATATCTTATCATATTTTCAAAAGTCACCATTATGAGTATTAGGGATCTGGTGTGAAATGATCCATAGTTATTTTTAATGGTTGTAAGTGTAACGGAGTCCATGTGTTGGCTTATTTGAAACCACCTGGTGTGGTGGTGTAAAAAGACCAGAACAACCCCTTGCATTAATTGAAAACACAATCTGAGAGCATTAAATTTTGATGCCCTTTGTCAAACCAATTCAGAACAAACAAATTCAGTTGACCGTAACATGAGACGGATGCAATGCTCTCTCCATATAGTGCCAATATTGTCCGTTTTTTGAAAAATACTTTCTATAATTTTTACGTACAAAATTTCTCCAATTTAAAATGATTTTTATTTATAAATTAGTATTACTCACTCCGTTCCATAAAACCCTTCCCTTTTTATTTTTTTTTTTGAATTCCCTAAAATACTTCCACTTTCTATTAAAAACACAGTTTTACCCTTATTTTTTCATACCCTACATATCACACCATACTTTTTCACTAATAACCAAACTATCACATCTTACTCTTACCCATTACATCAGGGGCAAAATTGGAAAGTCAACCAAAATTACATTTTCCTTATTTTTGCCCAAAGTCAAAAGTGGAAGAGTTTAAAGGAACGGAGGGAGTAGTAACTTATATGTACATGAAACTACATCAAAAGTTCGAGTTTATTACACCAAGACTATTCGTGATTTGGTAATGTGCATCGTTATTCCTATGGTTTCAAAACGTAACGTCTGTCGTTGTCCCCGTGGTTCTAATATTCCTACGTTAAAACTCTTCTAGACTAAAATATCATTCAAATATTAAATAAATTACTTCAAGGCCCATTATGGTTTTGGAAATGGGAACCGACACCCCTCTTTTTTCTTTACTTTTTTCTTTTTTCTTCTCTTTTTTTCATAAACTTTTTTAACTTCTTTTCTTAAAACTATTTTTATATTCTGTAATGTTTCAATAAACAATTTTTTTTGTGTTTGAAAAAAAATAAATTAAATAAAAAGAACCAACCTACAAGTCATTTGTCTCAAATTAAATATTTTCATTTTGTCCTTATTGTTCATTTTCATAATAAAAAAATCAATGAAACATTTTCTCTTTTTTTACAGAGAAGCTCATTTCACAATTTCTTTTTACTTTCATGTTTCTTTTTTATTTTCTCTTCTTGGTTTTTAAAAAATCATTAATTTTATAACCTTTCCTTTATTTTTAATAAAAGTTAAAATAAAAGAACGAATAAAATGAAGAAAAAAAGTATGTGAAAAAAATATTTTATAGAATAGAGAAATTAAGTAATGAAGGAAATCTATTGTGCATCGGTCTAAAAACATGTTGTAAATATATAATTAACCAAATATCAAAAATACCTTGCTTTGTATTCTTTTAGCCCCAACAAATTCAAAAAAAATAAGAACTTTATTTAGTTTGAGACACATGAAGTATATTTTTAATTTTTTTATTTCAAAAAGAAACATTTTTTTAAAATTTAAAAAATTTTGAAAAACTACTTTTCATTATATCAAACACAAACATTTTTCTTCTCTTTATAAAATAAAGAAAAAAGAAAAATAGTAAATAAAAAAATAAAGGAAAATGGGCGCTGGAGCCCATTCCCAAAACCACATAGGGCAGCATCACAATTCATTTAATAGTTGTAGACTACTTTTATCTAGAGGGGCATTAGCATAGAAATATTAGTTCCAAGGGGGCAACAATGTAAATTTTGAAATCATGAGGGTAACGGTGCACACTTACCAAATCACGGGGGTATTGGTGTTATAAAATATAATCTAAAAAAAATTCTATAAACAATTGATGACAAGAGTATTTTATTTTATAAAAATTAGCTTAAATAAGAGTAAAGCATAGAGAAAGTATCAAAATAGGAGTTGCATATTTTTTCCCCTAAATAGGAGTTCGCGTTGTGGTAATGTGGCACTGTGTATGACTTTTTTTCTATACTTTTTTGGTAATGTACATGGTCATGATTGATAATGTAAATGCATTTTAACTCTTGTTTTGAAAATAAAAACATGGAATTCATATTTGGATATATTTTCAATATTTTACTCCTATTTTATTCTTTTTCATTTTATTTTATAAAATATTTATAAAAAATACAAATAAACAAAAATTATCCAAAGATATGATATAGTGAATAGGAAGTGTATTTTCAAATAGAGGAAGTAATATATTTTGTTATAAATAGAAGTACCAAAGTACTCCTATGTAGTGTTATTTATCTTTGATCTCGGGGTAAGAAAACCTAATTAAAATAATGTATTCACATCGTCCCAAATTATATTAAAAATTCAGAATTATGAAGCAAAACCCCATATTTTTTAAAATATTTTATTCAAAATTTGGTATAAGAATAAAATACACTAACCATAACCAACAAAATTGTTTAACTTATTTTTTTAGTTTATCGATTGAGTATTTATTTTTATTAGAATTATATCATATTTTATCAGACTAATCAGATCCAACGAGGTCAGATCATATTTAATCAAATAAGATCACATCCAAATAGATTTGATCACAAAATATCAGATCAGATCGAATAAAAACCAATCAAATAAAATATTTTTAGATTAAATTAGTAAAATCCATAAAAAAATGTTATAAAATAATGCTTATTATTAATTATTATTATAAAAATCACCCTAAATAAGACTAAAACATAGAAAATAGTACGAAACAATTCAAGAATGTACTAAATGAAGTCAATTACACAAAAGTAATGCACAAAAATAATAATTGTGCGTACTTTGAAGAATCGGGTGCCAGGAGTCTATACTACGAGCGTAAGATGAGAAAGTTGAAGCTTCATCCACCCATCGCCACTTTAGCTCCTCTGCCATTAAGAAAAGTGAAATGGAGATCCTCAAAGAATAGGCCAAACGCGTCCAAAAACAGGTTGAAGCCCTAGCCTCTAATTTCAAAACAATCCAAGAAGATCTAACAAAGTTGTATGACAATGACAACCCTTCTCGAGACAATGATGGAGCGGGGGGATCAGGGCAACCGGAGGTGGTTTGTTAGAGTGTTTGAATTATATAGAATCTTTGACTTTAATGGTTTTTATGCATAAATTAAATTAACTTAAATATTTACACTTGTTCTACGTTACAAAGTGGAATTTGTTTGACACTTATATTAAAGACTTATTTGTGGTTTTATTGAGGATGTGTTTTTGGTTATTCCACCCCCCTCCGTGAATAGTATTTTGTTTTTTTTTGAGAAGCTGGATGTTATTCTAGTTTTTTGAAAAGCCGCAGATCAGCAGAAATACCAGGTCTTGGGTCTGTAGTTCACCTCTATGTGACGGACCTGCAACAGATTTATTAGTCCATCACAGATATAAAATATCATAGTTTTTAAAAAACCTGTCATAGTTTCCGTCGTAAATCTGCGACAAAAATAGTGTGATCCGCCGCAGATATGTTCACATTCGCTGACCCCAAGTCTGTCGCAGGACCGTCGCAGATATGCGACGGATAGGTGTTTTTTTCGCAAATTATGGCATGGCAACGGCAAATTTGCGATGACGATTTGCTGTCGCAGTTCCATCGCAAATATAGAATCTGCTACGGGTTTTCAAATCTACGACGAAAATCAGCTGTCGTAGATTTGACAGATGCTTGTAGTGATCGCTACCTTTTGCATTGGTTAACAATCGATTCAAAAGGTCAAAAACAACTGATTCAAAAAGTAATTTATGTAGTAGTGACCGCCAGTTCTGGAACCGGAATCGGTACAGTCCTCGACGGGTAACGGTTATAGGGGAGGAGTTCACCGTTGCCGGGACTGGAAGTAGCGCAACCGTACCATGTCCACCCCTGCTCCAGACTCGAGAGTGTGACATTAGAGTGTTTTAACGTTTTTGGGTGCACTTTTGGGTGTTCTATTATCTTTTAAGCTAGGGTACACTTGTTCATTTTTTACTTTTTTTAAGAAAAAATTGCACTAAATAGGACTAAAACATACTCTCTCCGTTCTCAAAAACACTTCCTCTTTCATTTTTTTCACTTCCAACAAAACATTTCCACTTTCTATTAAAAAACCACTTTTACCCTTACTTTTTCATACCCTACCTATCACATCATACTTTATCTCTAATAATCTATCAATTACATCTTACTTTTACCTATCACATCAAGTGCAAAATTGGAAGTCAACTATAATTTAATACTTCCTTATTTTTACACAAAGTCAAAAAAGGAACACTTTTTTCAAACGGAGAGAGTAAGTCATTTCGCAATATAGAACTTAAATTTTTTTATTCCCTAAATAGGACTTAATAATGTTTAGTGGGAGGAATAATGTCCAGTGATGATGTACATTTACTTGAATAATGACTAATGGATAATGACCCATTGTCCTACATTGAGAAATAAAAACATATGGTCCTATATTGAGAAAGTCATTATGTTTTAGTTATATTTAGGTAAATTCTTCTTTTTTTAATGAGGGAAAGTGATAAATATTTTCTTTTTGAGGTCATTATTAATAACTAAATTACTCCAATTGCTTTTTATGGGAAAAATATAAACAAAGATGGCTCAAATGCTCAATTGAACATGGAGTATATCACACCTCTAATTCTCTATTGTGATGGCTTCGATCCATGCCTGTGAATCCTTTTTCGTTTTCTACCTCTATAAAAAGGGGATAAAATGGGTGCTGCCGTTTCCATTTTTCGGCCATTTTCTTCTTCCTCATCCATCTCGCCCTCCCTCCTATATACAACTCCGACGATCAATATTCTATTGGGAGCGAGGGAGAATACATATATAATAAATTAAAACCGAATAATCAATCAATCAAAAAAATAAATTCATATTTCAAGCTAATAAATAAACAAATAAAGGTAATTAAGAAGAGATCAATATATAATGGGTAGCAGTAATAATAATAATAATAATAATAATAATAATAATAATAATAATAATAATAATAATAATAGGGCGGTGGCAGATGAAGATTATGATTATTTGTTCAAGGTGGTGCTGATAGGAGACTCCGGCGTCGGAAAATCCAACTTGCTTTCCCGTTTCACCCGCAACGAATTCACCCAAGACACCAAATCCACCATTGGCGTCGAGTTCGCGACTCGCACCATTCGTGTTGACAACAATAAGATCATCAAGGCTCAAATTTGGGACACCGCTGGCCAAGAAAGGCACTCTTATATATCTTTCTTCTCATTTGATTTTGTACGGTCTCCAATATCTATTTACATATAAACATAGATTCTAAAATTAATTGATTAACTTGCATTGATTATGTATAGGTACCGTGCGATAACGAGTGCATACTATCGGGGAGCAGTGGGAGCATTGCTTGTTTACGACATAACACGGCGCGTGACGTTTGAGAGTTTGGAGCGGTGGCTCAAGGAGCTGCGGGACCACACCGACCCAAACATCGTCGTCATGTTAGTCGGCAACAAGGCGGATCTCCGCCACCTCCGAGCCGTCACGACAGACGATTCGAAGGTGTTTGCGGAGAGGGAGAACACTTTCTTCATGGAAACCTCGGCTCTCGAGGCGATCAATGTAGAAAACGCCTTCACGGAGGTGCTTTCTCAGATATACCGCGTGGGCGGCCGCCCTGGATGGTGGAAATAACAACAACCACGCGAATTTACCCAAGGGATCGGTGACAATCAACATTGGTGGTAGCGGTGAAGTCTCCGCCGTCAAACAAGGTGGTGGGTGTTGTGCTTCATAAAGGGTTCGTTTGACATTTGTAATAGAGGTTAGTGTTGGCATTTTGAAAAGACTGTCGACAGTAACCTCTACCATTAGCATTTTCAAAATTGATGCTACACCATTAAAATTTTATTCAAAACGCTAACGTGGATCGAAAGTGGTCTTTCCAAACAATGCCAAAGAAAATGGACGATTATTTTGTTAAAGCACTAATGACCAATTACGTGGTTGAATTGGGAGCTAGGTTTTGAGCTTGAAATTTGCCGGTTATCACATTTGATGTCATAATTGCTGTCATTATTATTACATATAAGTTCATTTTTATGATTATATTTTTGGCTCTGAATCAATGTGCAAAAAGATAGAGAACCGATAACGTTTATATAAATTCGTCACAAGAAAACATTGTTTTTTTACTACGGCGTATGTAAGAGATTAAATAATCAACAATGAATAAAGAAATACCACAATTATTGTATTGTATTGTATAATAGCCATGGCTTTGGTTCTAGCTAGCTAGCAAAAGCAATGACAAAAATGGTTAGGGGGTTTTTTGCCTAAGATCTTGCATTTGCCGCCCTTGCCACAATCACTTTGAAAGCAGAGGTTATCGCATTTGGTGTCATCACTGGTGCCAGGATTACAAGATCCGATGTGGTTGTCGTGACAACAGAAGACCTTACAATCCGCCGGCATTAAATCTAACACCAAGAGAAAAAAAGAACAGTAGACAATTAAACCATAGACATATATAAGAGTACATCATTGTTTCGATTTTTTATAAGTTAACCATTGTTTTAAGATAAGATAATTTTGATAGGATAAAATATTGTGTTAGTCATTTCATGTTGAAAAGTGACCAAAATTTAAGGTTTTTAAAGTAGAACTTTAGACTTAGATTCAATCCAATACCCAGTTCACTCGGCCACCGAAGTTCCAACATGGTATCAGAGTGGGAGTATCTTTTTATTAATATCATCAGATTTAGAAAGATTTTTTGTAAAATTTCAATTCAGCACGTTCAAATTTTAAATGATTTTTTTAAAAACCTCAACTAAATATTCAATGACTTTTAAAATCCAAGAAAAAATTTATCGGAATCTTAATTGAATACACCCTCTAACATTATCAATGCAAATCTTGCAAAAAATAGATTTTCAGTGCCAAGAGAAGACTTTTTTTAATTAATACCGAGCGAATTCTTTAGCTTTTTAGAACGAAAATATGATGAGATTGATAAACTAAGAATGAATAAAATCATGTCACATGTAGGTGAATTGAAAAAGAATGGTTTTTTGGATAGATGAAAAACGAAAAGACAAAATAGTTTTTGATGTATACATAAATTAAAAAACAAGTGCACCCCACGAAAAAAAGCACAGGCGATATGGAATATAAGGGATGTTTGGTTGGAGGTAGGTAATAGTTTTATTAGGTAGGTAATGGTAGGTAATTGAAGGTAGGTAATTGAAGGTAGGTAAAGTAAGGTAATGAGTTAAAAAATTGTGTTTGGATGTTTAATAGGTAACGTGAGGTAGGGAAAGAATAAAATTACTAAAATATCCTTATGGTTGTTTTTTCTTATTTCTTTAGGATGTATTTATATGACTACAAATCCACCGAGCCAGAATGTTATCTCCAAGGAAAAATTCATATTGAAAAAAAAACAAATCGCTAAAAAAAAATTGAAAAACAAAACAATATATTTCAATAAATATTGAAAAAATAGGTAAAGAAAAGGCAAAAAACATAAAAAAATGATATTAAAATACATAGCAAAAAATGGAAAAAACAGCTAAAAATCAGGAAAAAAACATAAGAAAAAACGGCAAAAAAATAAAACGAAAGAAAAAACAGCAAAAAAACCCCCCAAAAATTATTAAAACAAAACCGGAAAAAAACATAAAAAAACCAGAAAAAACAAAACAGTTAATACAATAATTAGAAAAAAACACAAAAACAGAAAGAAAAAAAAGAAAAGCAAAAAAAGGAAAAAAAATTGAGACCTCACCTTATGGCAGAGGGGGCCAATCACAGAAAGAAAGCAGCGGCAGAAATTTTACAAGGAAGCAGCGGACAATCGGCGATGGGAGAGGAAGCACTCGCAGGAAAAAAAAGAGTGGGCAGAGCAGCGGAACAAAAAATTCTAACTTGGTTGCTCGCCTTTTCCGCGGATCCAGATTTTACACTGTTCTGCGGTCACCATACCTCGCTCCACCTCCTCTTACCTTCATTAATTTTTTCTCCCAAACAAGGTAAAGATTGAATTTTACCTCATTCTACCTCACCTTACCTCAAACCAAACACAACGTAAATATAAAAAAACCTGTCGATAGGATGAACAATACACCAAAGAGTATGGACAACATATTAAACTTCGCCATTTTCTTCAAATCCTAATTTGTTCCCTTCGATTACCTTAGGTTTGGTGAAATTCTTTTACAGTTTATATAGCTAAAAAGAATTAGAGAGTGGTAGTCTATTTAAGGCTTGATGGTGGCTTTTAAGGGAATTCAAGATTTTCAAAATTTACTTCGAACAAATGAAGTAAAAAAAAAACTTTTTTGGTATAGCACCAAAGAAATTACCAAATTCGAACATTCGTGACAAATGATTCATGTACCTCGTATATGGTCCCAAATAGAAGAATAATTTATTCTTCTCTCTTCCTAAAAAAAATCTTTCCTATTTGAAAAAAAACTAAACATTAATAAGGCATCATATAATGCATGTGTTGGATAGAAAATTAGGAATTAGAAAATAAAATCAAAATAATACATTTTTAAAGTTCTCCTTTTTTGAAACAAAAAAAGTTTTTTAAAACTGAAGGAGTATTATATTTACACCTACAAAAAATTAAATTTGGGTTGGGCCAGAGGTTAATTTATACGGAGAATTTTTTAGTTCTACATCATTTTTCATATAAAATGATTTGAAAATAACTTCAGTCAAACATCGTAAACCAAAATGGACAATTTAAAATGAGACAGATGGAACATATAATATAATTGTTACACCATATATCATTATAGAATTATAATTTTTTCAATCAATATATCAAAAACACATATTTAATTTGTATACATTGTGTGACAATACACACAGACACATATGTATGTGTGTGTGTCAATATATATATATATTTATTTTATATATATATATATATATATATATATATATATATATATATATATATATATATATATGGGTTGGTTCAAGTGAGAATGATGTTTGGTGAAAGAAATAAGAATAATTTGTGACTCTTAGATTAGAAGCATCAATGGCTCTGATTGGAATTTTTTATGGATGATCGTGGGAGTTTGATAACCGGATGTGATAATTACATTGCATTAAAATAGGGAGTGATAGTTAGGAGAGGGCATAATTGGGTTTTCAAGTTGCAAAAAATCGTAATTATTTCAAAGAAGAATTGTATCCCACATATTTCGCCCCTTTCCAAGTGTAACATATCTTTTTTTACTATGAGTTCTTCTATTCAAACGCAACCAGTAGGGACTCGAACAATTGGTGTGCATGTCTCTGTTTTATTTTTTTCAAAGAGACTTTCACCTTCCATTTGGAACTCTTAAATATGCATTTTAATATTTTATTATAGAGGAGGGGTAATCTTACACCACCTCAATAGGTTTAAGATAGTTATACCAATTAAATTAGAGTATCTACAGTGCTTTGATTGTAAAATTGATTGTTTTTACCCCTAACCTCTGATAAACCTCTTAACCTGCCCCGCCCCCAATGCACGCCAGCAACCCCACTAATTTTTTTACATCAACTTTGGGTCAAACATTTGACGAGAAAGTCAACACAATTTGGTGCAACGAAATTAGTCGAGGTGCAGGGGCGCGTTGAGGATGAGGTGGGCTAGGGGTTCACCGGGGGGTTAGGGGAGATAGGAACAATTAATTTCACGATCGGAGCGGCGTAGATACTATAATTGAATTGGTGTAGCAATCTTACACCAATTGAGTTGGTGTAAGATTACCCCCCTTTATAATATGCATAATTCAAGCGTCTCTATGTAACCTATATTCATATGTATCACAAAACATTATAAATGCTTCATTGTTTGCAAAAAATTTACCATCTAAAATATACAAATGCATCATATTTGTGTCTGAAGAATTTCATCATCAGATGTATCAACTTTAATTTTGAGTCTATGCAGTAATCGAATGCATTATCCTTTACTTTAATTATGAGAATGCATCATTGTCTTATTGTAATGCATTACCTTGATGTGATAATGCACAGTAACAGAAAAAAGAAACAAAAAAGTAAAGAAAGTAAATAAATTTAGCAATGTACACCATAAAAAAGGAAATGGGAAAAATCAACAAGATGAACACACGAATAGATACGTGCGAAAACAAAATGCATCAAACAAGAAAATTAGTTACATCATGCACGTTCACAAACAAAAAAACGATTAAAATTGCGCAAAGAAAAAATAAAATATATGCCCACATCTTTCTATAAAAAATTTAAAAAAAGATGCATTTGAAAAACAACGTACCAAAAAAGATAAACTCTAGAATTTCAAAGATCCAATTAGATACATAATTCTTGTAGATAAAACTGAACCTTTCAACCCAATATGCATTACATTAACCACATAATGCAATACAATAACCATGAGATGCATTACAATAAGCTAAATCAGATTTATAGCTCTTAAAAATATCCATAATTCTGAAAAAATCAAATTGTCTCAAGTTGGATACCAAATTAGAACTACAGTTCTAAAAATATAAATTGGAACTTTTTTAGAACTTTAATTAAACCCAATATGCATTACATTAACCACATAATGCATTAAAATAACCACAAGATGCATTACAATAAGATCAATCAGATTTATAGCTCTGAAAAATCTCCATAACTCTGAAAAGTTTACATATCCCTTCTTTGAAACTGAATCAGAATTACAACTCCAAAAACCCAATGTTATCCATGTTCATTGCTGGTTGAATGGAGCAATTACATAAGAAGCCATACATATTGGTCCAAAATGTTGAAATACATCCCACCTTTGGTAAAA